CAGCAGCCAGCGTGAGCGGCCAGCAGCCGCAGTGAGCGGCCGTCCAGAAGCCGGCGACTGATCTGCCTCGCCCGGGAAGAGCGCAATGAAGGTGCCAACTTGGGCCAGTGAAGCAATGTCCTCCACAGCTAGATTGAAGAACAAGATGACAGCAACTTGTCTGTTCCCCTTTCCCCAATTCCCCAGCACTGTTCACATCCCCCCAACTCCCCAATAAAAATCTTTAAAAAAAAAAAAGAACAAAATAAATGAACAAACTAAACAGAAACAGACTCAGGTACGGAGAACAAACTGATGCTTGCCAGATGGGAGGGATGTTGGGGAGCAGAATGAAAAAAGTGAAGAGATTAAGTACAAATTGGTAGTTACAAAATAGTCACCGGGATGTAAAGTAAAGCATAAGGAATATAGTCAATAATATTGTAATAACTATATATAGTGCCAGGTAGGCACTAGACTAATCAGGGGGATAACTTCGTAAATTATATAAATGTCTGACCACTATGCTGTACACCTGAAATAATATAAAATAATATTGAGTGTCAACTGTAATTGAAAAATAAAAAAATAAAATATTCAACAACAACAACCAAAACAAAAACATATTTCTATTATAAGGAATGTCACAGATTGGTGTCTAAACAGTGGGAATGGTTTGGTACATTTATCACCCATATTTAGCTGTTCTAGTTACTGAATCTAAACAAGGCTTTTATCCGAACCTTGAATAAAACTGTTTCTTTTCAACTTATTGTGGAATTTTTCTTAGTCAGGCCCCCTTTTTTCTCTCAACAAACTTTAATTTTTTTTTCCGACCCTGCTTAGCTTCCGAGATCAGACGGGATCGGGCGCGTTCAGAGTGGTATGGCCGTAGACCAAACTTTAATTTTTTTTAATGAAAATTTCAAACATACAAAGCAGAGAGTAGTAGCATGAATACACACACCCATCACCACCACCACCGCCATCACCATCACCATCACCATCACCACCACCACCATGATTGGACAATAAATAATATTTTACCATATTTGTTCCATCTATTCCATTTTTTCTTTTGTTGCAGTATTTCAAAGCAAATCAAAAACATTATATCACATCCCTATATACTTCAATATGCATTTCTTAAAAAGGGCATAATTTAATAAAACCACTATGCCATTACACTTAAACATAGTAATAATTCCTTGGTAATGTCTAATAATAAGCAAGTCTACAATTATCCAGCTGTCTTCATAATCAAATGTATTTTTTTTTACAGCTGGCTTGTTCTAATCAGAACACACTGCATTATTTAATGTCTCTTGAGGGTCCCTGAATCTAGAGCAGGTCCTCTCTTCCCATTTTTTATGTCATGCCCTTGACTTATTGCAGTTGTGTTGTAGAAGGACTCATCTTCCATATTTTGTCTGATTGCTGCCTTGTGGTGTCATTTTACATGTTCTTTACTCCCCACTTTTCCTGGAGATGGAAGTTAGCTTTGAGGATTCTGTTACATTCAGGTTATTTAATTTTTTTTCATGAACAGTGCATAGGTGGTGTTATGAAATTCATATTTCATCACACCAGAAGACATATAATATCTGGTGGTCCTGCTTTTAATGATGTTAATATTCATCAGTGCATTATGGCAGTAATATCCTGATCCTTCCAAGGAAAATTTTCCCATCAGCCTTTCATATAATGATTCTATCCTTTGATGATTGTTGCCTAAATCTGTTATTTTATTAGGACTTGTAAAGTGGTAATTTTTCTAAAATTATATCACTTTTCTACATTTATTTATCAGCATTATCATGTAAGTAAAATCTTTCCTTCATCAATTTAGCTATTGGGTTACTCAAAATACGGTTAGTTCATACAGGAAAGACAAGATAAAGATGTAATGCTGTCATTACAAAGGCCAATTTTAGAGTAAGGAATTGATGTCTTATGGTTCCAGTGGTTCAAATAAGGTTTTTGTTTAGAATTTTTTCTTTGATTTTTCTTGATATTAGTGTCATTATGAATTCATTTAAATATATATGGAGAGAGAAATATAGTGTGTGTGTGTTGATCCATTCCAATCATTATTCTGTTTGATGTTCAAATTATCCCATATTTGGCCAGTGGGAACCCCTTCAAGTTTGCTCCTGTTCCTTTTTGACATGACACTAGTTGTCTTTGAAG